ATACACGACGGAACTTCAGGGGCACATTTCGGAGTTAACAAGACTTTGGACAAAATTCGGGAACGTTTTTACTGGGTTCACTACCATGAAGACGTTAAAAGCTGGTGCCGAAAATGCGACATCTGTGCTACCAGTAAAGGCCCTAAACTAAGATCTCGGGGGCCCATGAAACAGTACAACGTCGGTCTCCCATTTGAAAGAATAGCGATAGATGTTGCTGGACCGTTCCCAGAGTCAGAGCGTGGTAACAAATACATCTTAGTTATCATGGATTACTTCAGTAAATGGCCAGAAGTTTTCGCTATTCCCAATCAAGAAGCCATCACTGTTGCCCAGGTGCTAGTGGACGAAGTTTTTAGTCGTCATGGTGTGCCACTAGAGTTACATTCAGACCAGGGACGAAACTTCGAATCTGCCATCTTTAAGAAAATTTGTGAGATCATGGGAATCCGTAAGACCAGGACAACACCTTTACACCCTCAGTCTGATGGCATGGTGAAACGATTCAATAAGACCATAGAGGAACACCTGACAAAAGTGGTCGCAAAGAACCAACGAGATTGGGACAAGCATTTGCCTCTTCACGATTCAACAGGTGAAAGTCCGGCTAGAATTGTTTTTGGAAGGGAACTCAGGTTACCTTGCGATCTGATGTTTGGAGTACCCGAAGAAGAACGAAGAGAAATCCGAGATTATGCCGACGAAGTAAGGGCACGACTTCTGGGTATCCATGATTTTGCTCGGGAGCATATTCAACTAGCCAGTGACCGAATGAAGACCAGATACGACTTGAAAGCCAATTCGGTCGGATTTCAAGAAGGTGATTTAGTGTGGTTGTATAACCCAGCAAGGAAGAAAGGAGTATCGCCGAAATTGTCTTCAGCATGGGAAGGACCCTATAGAATAATCAAGAGGATCAATGATTTGGTTTATCGAGTCCAGCGCAACACCAGGAGTAAGATGAAAGTTGTACATCTGGACAGATTGGCGAAATATCATGGGCGTGAAGTTGATCGGGACGATCAATCTTAAGAGGAGGGCAGTGCTACGATATCGTTAACGGCGTCCGCCAGGCTGTCAAGAATCGATGTCGAATATCCTCGAATCTAGCGAATTATTCTACTATAATCGAGAAATAACATTATCGTGTGTGTTCTAGATTTTACAGGAATAGATTTAGGGATATATATAAGGACGGGATTTAGCTTGCAAGTTAAGTTTCAGTTCGACTGTGATACGTTTTAAATAGTGATTGTAAAGAGTTTTTTAATTGTTGAGTTTGTTATTAAAGTAATTAGTGTCAGAGTGTATTGTTAAGTGGAACAAATTATTGCTGTGTTAATTGGACTTTGATTTTTGGAATAAACGAAACGAACAACGAACCCAAGATTCTTGTCAGCAGGCAACCCAAAGCCGCGACAATATCTTAAATAATATCAAATACAAAACATGTAATTTAGTTAACTTTGTACAGTTCCATGTGCCAAAGATTAATTTGAGACTTAACAGGAGTGACCTATTTTTTTCTAGCCCTTCTAGTACTTCTCCCATAAGTCGCATGCTGGGCCAGTGCAACATTTTAATTAGAAACAATAATAGTAGATTATACCACGAGTCAATAATGATAGCTATTATTCCTTAGGATTATTACGAATTGAGCCGCGTTAGCGGCGAGGGAGTAACATTCCGAGGGAATAATAGCCATTATTGCGAGTAGTATACGCTACTTTATTTACGACAAATCAATTTATTTGAGATTTTCAATGAACAAATTTCATCCGTCTCATAATTTTCAATACAAATCCACAAGCACTACACGTTTGACACTGACACTTTTGAGGAATAATGACCATCAATCCCGCTACTCGTCATTATTCCCTGGGGGAATAACATATGTCATTATACTGCCAAAATCACAAATATAATACGCACATTATACATTAGTCGTAAATAATATAGATTTATTTACGACTGTCATATAATGTAAGTATTATATATTTGTGATTTTGGCAGTTTAATGACATCTATTATTCCCGCAGGGATTAATGGTCATTAATCCCGCTTGCACCAATCACAAAATTTTTCAAATTAAATAAGTAGGTAGTACCATGGAAACAGTATAGAACAAATTCAGTGTCAGTGTCAAACGCGTAGTGCTTGTGTATTTGTATTGAGATGGATGAACAAAGAGCGTTTTTGGATAAATAAATTAATTTGTCGTTAATAAGGTAGAGTATACTACTCGCAATAATGGCTATTATTCCCTCGGAATGTTACTCCCTCGCCGCTAACGCGGCTCAGTTCCTAAAAATATACCTCGGGAATAATAGCTATCATTATTGACTCGTGGTATAATCTACTATTTTTTAATTGTAGTGTTAAGGATATAAAAAAATTATTTACGAGAAATTGATTTAAGTTGAAATCTGTTAAAGGCTTCTCTCCTAAGGAAATGTGATTGATTAAAAGTCTGATGCTGTTTGTCTGTTTTTAGATTAGTTTAGTTTTTACGTAGTTTTAGATTTTATTTAGTGTAGGATTTGTATGCTATAACAAGCACTCTCGCATGTAAGTACTGCTCCGGCGGTGTTTGTAAGATGTACCTTTAAATAAATAAATAAATAAATATAACCCCGACAAAGAAAGAAATTATGGAAGTGATAAACACACTACCAAAGAAAAAATCCACCGGAATTGATGAATTAGACTTAGAATTCATGGAAAGTCTTCCTGAGCAGTGCCAAGACCTGATGCTGGCTGCCATAAAAGATTCGTTCACAAATGGTATTTTCCCAAGCAGTATAAAGATATCAAGCTCAAACTCCAGACCCATCGCTGTGTTGTCAACCGTTCCAAAAATAATGGAATCAATTATTAAAATCAGGATGCTAACATTCATAAGAAAATACTATATTTTACACAAACATCAGTTTGGCTTTCAGAAAAATAAAAGCACAGCAGAGACACAACTAAAATAATTGTTATGGTGGGTCAGAAGGAACGAAGGCAAGTGGTGGAAACTAAAGATCGAAACGGCCACGTGATTTGATCACACATCCAAGAATTAAAGCATGGTGTTGTACAGGGTGGGCCAATTTGGACACTTTCTTATGGAAACACCCTTTATTTTTAGTGATAGAAAAAAATGAACCCCCCACTCTGAGGCTCAAATTTTATGAAATTTTGATTGGAGCAAACCACATTTTGATATCTTCAACCGTTTAGCCGCTAGAGGGCGATTCTCGATTTTGAGCAATACTGTGAAACCTTCATAACTTTTTTATTTATGAAAATAATTCATTTCTGTAAAGACTTTCTGGAAGCACTTTTTTAAGTGGAATTCAGTGACGTTCTCAGCTTTTTTCTATTTGGCTCCGATTACGAGATATTGACCAAAATCCGATTTTTTTCAATAGGACATCCTATATATTAATAGCTCATTGAAAAGCTCTGCTTTTGCTGATTTCAAGGATATAAAATTGGATAGGTTTATCTCCAACGGTTTCCGAGAAAAAAATTATTTCGATTTTTGTCATAAGACACAGTGTGTTGGAAAAGGACTTTATATCCGTAAGGAAAACGAGAAAGGTCTCTTTCTAACACATTGTTTCTTATGACAAAAACAGAAATAATTTTTTTTCTCGAAAACTGTTAGGGATAAACCTATTGAACTTTATATCATTGAAATCAGCAAAAGCAGAGCTTTCCAATAAGCTAATAATATATAGGGTGTTCTATTGAAAAAAATCGTATTTTGGTCAATATCTTGAAATTCGAGTCAATTAGAAAAAAACTGAGAACGTCACTGAATTCTTCTTAAAAAAGTGCTCTTAGAAAGTCTTTACGGAAATTAATTATTTTCATAAACAACAAAGTTATGAAGGTTTCACAGTATTGCTCAAAATCGAGAATCGCCCTCTAGCGGCTAAACGGTTGAAGATATCAAAATGCGGTTTGCACCAATCAAAATTTCATGAAATTTGAGCCTCAGAGTGGGGGGTTCATTTTTTTCTATCTCTAAAAATAAAGGGTGTTTCCATAAGAAAGTGTCCAATTTGGACCACCCTGTACAGGGATCTACTTTGGGACCTCTCTTGTTTATACTTTACATAAATGAACTGGCCACTTTACCCATAAGTAAACACCTGACATTGGCCAGTATGATTAAAAAGACTATTTGTTTGTACTTCAAGTAAGAGCTTTTACTTCCTAGTGATTTGTGGAGTATAATCTTTTAAATGAAGTAAATTCTTTTGTGAGAAGTGTTTACTTAGATTAGAAGTATAAACTAGTAGTAAATACTTAGGACGTGATCCACCTCAAATAGGATCTTTTTGTTTCTTGTACGAGTACAAACTATCGCTTCTATTTTCTCAAGTATCGTCCATCCATCTTCAGCTAATTCAACATCGCGGACATTTTGAGGAAAAGAAATCTAAACATTTCTATTCCACACAATTTTTTGTGAAACTTCTTTAATTACTTTTGACACGGTTGTTTGATGTACTCCGACTACATCTACATCAACTCCTTATTGAAATCCAGGATCACTTAGAACTGATATTATTATGTCCGGTTGATCGATGGTTGAGTTTCAACCGAGGTTTCAACCTTCGGTCAACTGGCCTTAGGGCCGGTATTATAGATCTGATTGACCGAAGGTTGAGTTTCAACCAGCGGTCGAACTGACATTTCCGTATGATTTTATATGGACATTTCAGTTCAACCTCCGGTTTTTTCGATAGGATGCACACACTTTATCTATAGATCGCGAAAAACTAGTTTCAACCCCTAAAAACCCACCCCACAAAGCAGTTGTCGGTCCTATTTTTTTTTCCCTGTTTTACAATATATCAGATTGCTGTAACGAATTTTTTTGTTGTTCGAACTTTATTTCTACTGGTCTATCATGATACCACTTCTTTCACAATGTGTCTAGCAAATGGATTATAATCAAAGATTAATAGTGTTGTTTTGACAAATACGATAATTATTCTCACCTTCAGTTTCTGAAACATACTCTCTTCATTGTCCAAGTTATTCACACTGATTTCCCTCATGGTAACTTCCATGAGCGGATTCATTTTTAGCGCCTTCAAAAGTTTCTGAGCGTCTTGGGAAAACATAAACACAGCCGGGATTTTGACGTCGTCAGTACCATCTCCGGACATGGAAAACATTGGCGAGTTTGAGGCGCTACTATTAGGAACGTTGTCTACGACTATGGCGGCAATTGCACCGAATTTTTGTGCTCGACGAACCTGAATTTCAAAATGATATACATACTGTTTGTGTGAAAAGGTTAAATTCCTGAAAATTGTTGATGGAATAGTTACCAAAGTTTCAAATAATTACCTTGTCAATAAACATACAATCCCCTCTTTCAATAATAGCAATAATGCCTTTAGCCAAAATCGGCCTTTGAAACTGATCCAAATCACTGCATCCGTTGAAAGGAGAAAACTTAACAGCAGCAGATTTTAAAACTTTGTCGCCTTTGAGTATTTCTCCAAATTGAGCAGGGCCAACTTGAGCGTTGATAATTTCGATTCCTCCTTTGGCAGTTTCGTCTTTCATGGGAAATGAAACAATTTGTGGAGGTGGCTCCGGTTGTGATGCTTGTAACTTTGATAATTCGGCCATTTCTTGCATGAACATTAGACCCTCTTCGGCGTCAATATTGGAACGAGCCGCCGTTGGTGTGTGCAGTAATTGCACTCTACCATCCCTCAAAGCAATTATATTGATTCCCATTTCTTTGATAATCTTTAAATGATTAACATTTGCAGCTGAAAATTCGCTAGCTGTCAATCTTCTTTTATTAATGTTTCTTCTAGGACACATTCCATCCACCATATGTTTCAAAGGTTTTCTTAAATCATTGGGGAATAATGATAAAGTATTAGGACAGGACATTGCATATTCGGATTTGTCTATTTCCAAATCTGATATGATTTTGCTAGAGTTGACGTGTCCTGATAAAGTTAAAGGAAACAAGTGACCTTCTGTGGTAAAAATAAACTCGTCCAAATTAAAAGGAATATCCTCTTTATCTGCAAATAGTAGGTAAAGGTACTTTAGGGTTTCAGCTAATACAAAGGAATCCATTCTATCTTCTTTTTTGCCTGTCCTGACATCATTGACAGCAGCATACCCGCAAGGCACTCTGGCATATTTTTGCAAACTTTTTAAGGCATTCTTTCCTACATCTAAATAGTAAGGATCTCCTGTTGCTTTATACAAAAAGTATGTAGATTCAAGAAACTCAGGCCTGAGTGGATGATTACCCCAATGGACCTAATATTAAAAAGTGTAAAATAAAATAATTTATAGGTGGAGCAATTTTACTTGAAAATCAGTAGTGAAGGCTTCGGGTATGAATGTGTGCCTTTGCATGACTTGATAAAGCATTTCGTGAGTCTCTACTGCTGGTTTGATGTCGCCCTTGAGAACTTGCAAGCCAGGCCAAAAGGCTAGAAGGGCGTCCATGTAATTTCTTGATGTTGTATGTGGCCTGTAGAAAAAAAATTAAAACTGTGTTTCTTGGCAAGAAATCTCACTATTGCTCATTTAAATCAGACTTCAGTAATGGTTGATATCAGTTTTGAAGTACTTTTAATAGATTACAATTTTCAAAAAAAAAAATCAATCTTGAAATATAATTCTTGTAATATAACAGATATTAACCTAGTCTCAAGGTTCCAATTTAAATATATATGTATGTAATTTATCATGATACCATACCATTATTATACAACATTCAATAAATTTTGCTCACCGATGCATATGAACATCCAACAACATAGGTCCCTGCGATATGTATTTCATTACAGCATTATAGTGACGATTAAACCTATTTAAATATTTATTATCTCCCAATAAAATATAAGCCTTAAGACAGTATTCATAATACGAGTCGATTCCAGCCCCAACACCGGAATCTCTGCGCACCCAGTCGCCCGAATGGACGTTGAGTACCGTGCCCATTAAATCGGAGCTTCTGTGACGCATTTTCCAAAGTTCGTCCATAGATTTATGAGCCTGAAATGTTTTATTTTATTTAAAATTGACAATCGAGTTTAATAAGTGTACTTTTTCTTCAAAAATTGGTTCTCCTGTAAGTCTTGAGAGCGCTGCCATTTCCAAAATCATCGAGCCTGCACAAGCAGTACAGGTTTCCCTAAGAACTTCAATTCTGTCACTTTTAATCCCATATCGAAGATTTATCTACAAAAGATTTTCCTATTAAAAAAAAGAAGGGTACAATAAAATTTTTACTCTAGAATAAGGAATTCCTGTAGTTGAATTAAAGGCAGGCAATAGCCTATATCCAACATCTTTGGCCATGTTGAGCAATTCGCCGTTATACCAAAGCATTATGCCATCTCTTTGCTGCAAAAGATCTGCTAGGATATGAGCCGAGAGTAAACCTCTAGAACATGAAGGTTATTAAGTTTATCTAAGACCTTATTAAAACTTACCCTACAACTCTTATATTGGTTTCAAATACTGATACAAGAACGTCATTATCAAAGTTAACATCTTTTATAATCAGCTTGACAGCGTGTTCAAATTCTTCTAAATCATTGAGGACTACCAAGGTGTCTAAAGTATCAATCAGGGTGAGAGAAAAGCTGAAAATAAAAAGATGTGGAATTGTAAAAAAGTATAAAAAATATTACAAACATCGTTAATGGTAAGTGATTTTTACCATTTGTGACGTAAATATTATTGAAACTAGACAACAATAGTATATTATATACCTAGGTAGAGAAGTTGGTCATTATATACCGAAAGCTAGGTATATAATGACTTTCTCTACCGAGGAATATATAGATTTTTTTTTACTACTGCTAGTAGAAAATAAAAAAATTGTTTAAAATCTGTGCTCTAATTATTTTTTGTGAACGCCCTCTTGAAAGTGCTGCCCTCTATCAACAGCTTATATAACTTCCTATGTACCTACAGAAACCTGTATTTTTTTTCAATTTGACGTATGAAACAGAAATTGAACCAATAGAAACACGACAATATCCTTGCGTCATGACGTCATTTTCATTATTGACCTAGGTATTTTTTCATTATTTTCATTATTAACCTAGGGAGAGAAATTCAATTTTTTCTTAGAAAAATAGATTGAATAATGTCTATTTCTCAGGTTAGTAGTAAAAAAAATATTTTTGTTTTAATAATCATTACACTTATTATGACCTAGTTCAATAATAAGAAAACTAGCAATTAACTTTAGCAAATTACACGAGAACAAAATAATGATCATGACCTACAAATATTTATTATGCATCATTGAATGTAAAAAAAAAATATTTAACAATACAACAAAGTTTGCAAATTTTATATTGGAATCAGCATTAGTTGCGGTAAAAAAAAACTAATGTTGGCTGATAAGGTAAAATAATAATTTTTCGACTTTTTGTATAGTAATGGGACAGATTATTGCATTAGTATAATAAGTAATATTACTGCATAGCAACAATTTAAAAATATTTGACCAGGGCTACCATTAAATATATCAAAATATAAAAGGCAATCAGACAGTTTTTTTGTTTATAAGAAACGAAAAGCTGAACAAATAAAAGTTTTCATTTTGGGTTGTTATGCCATATAAAATACACTAATCATGATTTAGTTAAGGCAGATTTTGAACTCAGAATTCTACCTAAGTCAATTCTTAGGTATTCTTCAATTATTTTGTTATCAGCACGTAAAAAAAAATTAAAATTACAGTACAGAAAATTGACACCCTGATGGGTTTCATTGAAAATTATTTTTAATAGGTACCTAATGATAGAATAATTCCCAATGATGGAATGAGCTATGATAATTGAGATTGAGAAATATTTTTGCTTGCAGATAAGATAACATAAAAAATAAAATACCTTCAATCTTGCAAGGTTGATACAGTTCAAAATGTTGTTTATTTTGAAGTCATGGTGTGCATCAATATTTGTTTTGATTATTTTAGAATTATTGTTTGCTGAATTTGCAACAACTTGCATTGTCAATATGAAAAGTAAATAAAATACTACACAAAACAAACTGTTTTCTACCAAGTTTAATAACAAATGTGTGTATAAATATACTTATTCGCTTTTATCCAAAGATAACCCTATTGTTTTCTGTTAATATTTATTTGAACTGGTATTTTTCAATATGTGCGAGATTATTTAAATTTGTTTATCATAACTCGATTTCTACCTTTGCCTTCTCCTCACCTGTAACCTAACAGTTACAAGACTACTCCATTCACCTATTGATGACTGAAATCTAACCAATATAAGCAATATAGGCTCCTACTTGGAGTTTTGATTAAAACATGAATTTTCAAAAAAGCTGGGGACGAGGTTGGGGATCAAAGGAGAATTTTGATTTGTTTTACATTTCATTCATTCATTCATTTATTTTATTCACCATAGATTAACAATATAAACTTAGCTTTGTGACAATATTGAATCAATTATTTATTTCCTGAAAAGATAAAACGAGTTCAGAAAACAATCCGATTATCATTTATTTATTTGTGTTAAACAAGGTCTCGATTCTCAAGTGTGTTTCTGTTTATTATAACAATAATATAATAAATTAATCAAAATCCAAAGAAACTATCAACAAATTTATTTATGGGCTTAATTTTTTTGATAATATTAGTATTTTTCATACTTATCTTTATGGGATATTTCCAAGAATACCCCGTTTCTAGTTTTTGCCATTATACCTAAATGGTCAAGGGTAGGAACTCGGAACTAATTTGAATAAGTTGACTTGATAGAAACTGATTTTTTTTTCACTTTCAATCTTTTTTAAAAAAAATCCTATTTGAAAAAATGACACTAGGGGATAAAAATATAAATTGCATGATCTGGCAGTCTAAATAATCTACCCCTGTAACATCTGAGCTAATTTGCCCCTGATGATGAGATTCTCTAATCTCGAAACATGTAAGGCTTTAAAGTATTTGTGGAGCGAGACTTTCAGTTTTTCTTTTGGAATTAAATTTTCACCTCCACTCTAAGATATGGACTACTTCGTCAATTTGATTTATTTTATTTTATTTATTTATTTATTAGTCCAGTATCAACAGCCAGTGGCCAATTACAGAGATACAGTTAAAATACAAATACTTTTTTAACAAAAATTCAAGAGCCAGGGATAGACAAAAATTGAGACAGACAAATTGAGAAATAAGTGAAGAAATTTGGGGAAGATTGAGGAAAAATTATTAAGAAATATAGACATAGGTAGTTTTTCAATTGCTTACATATTTACACAGTTTTGTTCGAATCAAAGCAAATCAAATCAAAATATCGGTATCGGCTGATATGTTAATCAATAATCACGATATTGGCCTATATATATATCAAACCTAAAAAAAATATAAATTGCTTAATATTTCAGTTGCGGAAGGCCGTTTTACAGCTTGCAAGAAAACTTGAATGCAATTTTTTGCATGCAAAAAAATTGCATTCAAGATTTCTTGCACGTCGTTTTATACCTTGCAATTTGACTTGTTTTCTTTCTAACCTTAACCATACTTTTTTGTTTTTAATGTTGTGTTATTGATGTTTGTATTTTCCAAAAGTGAAAAAAGTGATTATAAGTCGATATAAAAAGAAGAAAGCAATAGCAGCCACTTTAAGCATCATAATTGCTGGAAATTCCCCAACTTGCGTGAAAACCTTCAAGAAAAATGGCAACAAACCGATTGCATGCAATGCCATTCAAGTTTCAAGAATCTTGCAGAAAACAATCAGCTGACTCACTTCTGCGCATGCCCTCGTTCAAGTTTCTTGCATATTGCAAATACACTCCTGGACATAAAAAACCGGACAAACAAAATTTTGTTAAATTTCAACCCTAAATAATTTTTTCAATTTTGCATCGAAATTGATCATTATTGGTCGAATGGTAGGCGCGTTTATCTGGATCAATATTTGATATTGTGTTTGCAAAAAGGTCGAATGGATTTGGTGTTATACAGGGTGGAACCATAAATTGCATTTGATCCCAAACTTCTGAACACTCTGTGGAATAATTCAAGGATACAATCATGCGTATTTGCAGGACATTGTTAAGCCTTATAATTTCTTAACATGTCTTTTTTTAAATTCATATCAATATCTTCAATCTCAAAGGATGCACAAGTTTTAAGAGTAGCAATGCAATTTATACCAATAACAAAAATTCAAAACATTACAGATAACTTTAACAAATAAACAAACACTAATATTGGGTATTACCCCCACATGCTCTAATTACTGCTGCCATGCGACGTGGTAAGCTCTCAATACAATTGGTAATAGCCCTTTGCGGAATGTTCTCCCACTCTTCGAGAAGAGGCTCTTCGAAGATCTGGAATGGTTTTCGGTTGTCGACTGCGAATTAGCTTCCCTAACATGTCCCACACATGTTCAATCGGTTCGTCCATAAACTATTGTGCCACGTACATTTTCAAGTCGATGACTAATAACAGCAGATGTTACTCCTCGGTCCCGTAAAGCAGTTAGAGTAATAAAATGATCATCTCCCTGGTTTGTGACGCGGGGTTTCTTAGATCCTGGACGTCGTGTGTACTCACCAGTCTGCCGAAAGCGACTAATTGCATCTTGTACAGTGCTTCTGGATCTGCCCAAGACATTGCCGATGTAGCCTATATCACGGCCTTCATCATTCAATGCAAGCTGGTGCAACATCTTCGGACCGCATATTGAAAAAAAGTCAACCTCTGAATAAGGATACCTTCATTGACACTTAGGATAAAGAAGCAAACGGAAATAGACACTTCTAAAGTGTATTTTTTCCCAAGATGGATTTTAACATTGATAACTTTGAAACATAAACAATGCTGCTTATTGGTCGCAAGATGCCATTTGCACGACAATACATGTAAAACTGATTCCAACCTGAGATTCCAACCTGCAGGAATACGGCATTTTGTGACTGATCAGGGACAAGCGGTATTGTTTACCTCCCAAAGTTTTCAATGTCAAAATCGATCTTGAGAAAAAATACACCATTCGAACTTTTTGCAAACACAATATTAAATAATGATCAAGATAAACGCGCCTACCATTTGACAAAAAATGATCAATTTCGATGCAAAATTGAAAAAACCATTTAGGATTCAAATTTAACAAAATTTTGTTTGTCCGGTTTTTTATGTCCAGGAGTGTAGAATTGCAAGCTGTAAAGCGGCCTTAAGGTTTTTTTAAAGAAATTAAGGCGGGGGTTACCCAATTCCTTAATTCTTAATATTTGTCCTTAATTCTTAAAAAGTTCAATTTATTTAACATTGGGGTTTTTAAAGATTAAGAATTAAGAACAAAAATTAAGAATTAAGGAATTGGATAACCCCGGCCTAACATAGAAATACTAAATAAAAAACAAATCAAGTTTATTCTTATTCAAAATTTAGCAAAAAAAGTCAATAAAAATGTAGAAGTGTTGAAGTGTAACACACTAAGAGCCGGTTTATTCACCTTCTGATAAACTGTCAGGTACACATGTGTGTGTACACATTTAAACAGTTTAGAAAATTATTGAACTTTTGTATTTGTAAAATTTTGCACGAAAGACAGACGTTCATTCATTTTCAATACTTTCATGTTCTAGATGGCAACAATTTGATGATAAACTGAACTAACTAAATATAAAATGTATGTTTGGTTATTCAACTGGTAGTGAGTACTCATTTTTCATCCATCTACCTAATATTTTACATTGCAGAAAAACATATGCCGTATAACAAACTATATTAAGATTTTTGTCAGAACATATGAGAATTATTTCTCTGAAAGCGGTCCAAATAAATTTGATATAAAAAATCCAGATCTATTTGAAAATCAAAGAATCGAGCACAAATATGACACAAGAAAAAAGGATAATCTAAGAACAGATATACCTCAATTTAGTTATTTAAAAAAATATATAACTTTCAATATTATAAAAATATGGAACTCATTGCCTATCACACTGAGACAAATGCCTAACAAAAAAATTAGGTTGCTTCTGGAAAATCGTGCCTACTATAGTGTCAATGAATTTTTCGAGGATAAAAATAAATCAATTTTCTTGAACTGATCTAGACAGAAAGGGTACAAAATGTATTTTTATATTTTAAAGAGATCAAATAAAGTGAACTGAACTGAACTATGCATTCTGACGGATAAAAACGCAATCTGTAATTGCATTAGTCGGCCAGTTATTCACCGAACAATAGAATTAGAGAATGGGAAATTTTTCTTGCAGATACCTATACATAGTCCGTTGCATGGTTCTTGAGCTACGACTACTGAATAGACAGAGGGAACAATGGGCTATTGCTGCGTTGTCATATCAATAATATTTATTATTACATGAAAATGAAGGAAATTTTATTGCAATTTTCATACATTAATAAATATTATTGATATGACAACGCAGCAATAGCCCATTGTCCCCTCTGTCTATTCAGTAGCCGTAGCTCAAGAACCATGCAACGGACTATCGATAGTTACCAGCAAGTTTATCTGAAGATGAATAGACCATATGAAAAAAAAAATTTTTTTTGAAGCTTGATTTAAAGTTGAGTTTTGCCAACTTGTAATGTAACAAGCTCTGTTCCATCTGACGTGAGAAGCGTTCTAGAACGTTAATTTCCATTCAATCAATTCATTTGTCAAGTAGGATAAACGTTCAACTTATTGAAAAATAGGTGGGCAACTGGAAATTACTGGTTCTGGAACGGTTCTCATATTGGTTGGAACAGAGCTAAAATTACGCTTTCTGCTCTTTCCGGAGATAGACGATTTCTTGCGCTTTCATAAACGAGGATTCACCATATAGATTTTTATTCCGCCGGGTGATTTTACAAAATGTCGAATTTGCTCTGCATTTTTCTTAGTAATTTTATGATTGTTAATCTGTGTACTTATATCATTATAAATCAATTTCTACATTTATACAGTAAAAAAATTACGACAAAATTGTATGGCTGATATATCAGTATCGGCCGAAATCAGTATCGGCCAATATTGGTATCGGCTACAAAAAATCATATTGGTCGATCCCTAATTCATAAGAAAACAAAAATTCAAGAGCCAGGATAGACAAAAATTGAGTTTTTCAATAAGTTCATAGATGAGGTATTACTGAAATATTACCAAAATACTTCTAAAATATTGAACACCTTGATTACTTTTAGCAATTGCCCGCCTGTTTCTCACCCTTGCAACATCTAATTTTGCAAAATCTCATTTTGGAAGTAAAATATAACTATGCACCCCGAGATGCACCCCTGCACTTATTCTACCTAACATTTATTATCGCCCAAGTTAACCCTGAGAGAAGTGACAATGCTGTCCAAATCCTGAGTTTTGAGCAATTTTTACCCCTTATATTTTAGAAAAATTTGGTTTTTTGGACTATTAGCAATCAACGCTATTAGGTAATGGGCAGATGGGAACTTCAAACCCGAGTTTAAACCTATACTATTCATTCGTACATAGTGATAGTACTCAAAGAGCCATAAAAACCCAAGTTAAAAAAAAACAATCTTAAATTTATTGCAGCTCATTCTGCAATCAATTTATCTGTCGATTTATCCTGGTTTAATTTTAAAAATGTTAAAATATATATATTGAAGATACAAGAAAAATCAAATATTCTGCCAAAACAAAATAGCCACTTACTTTCCCAAAGATTCATCTATATCTCCTCTGTTAGGTGTCAAACCTCTATATCTTCCCTGACAACTTAAAGGCATAAGTTCGTCAGCTGGATATGCATTTTCCATGTAAGCATTGTAAGCATGGTAAAACATGTCTCTTGCTTCGTCCCTATAACAGAAAAGTTTTGTATTATAGTTTCAATTAACATGAACATTTTTCATGGCTACGCTACAAGCCTATATTTATATTATACACCTAAGCTAAGTAATTGGTCAATAATTTTATGAGGAAAATGATACAAAGACAATTATGAGTATGACCTGAACAGGTTTTCGAATATTTCTACATACACATAAATATGTATAACAATTCAACATAATCTGGAGGTATCGCTGTTTAATTTACAAAAACTTAGGCAAGAGCTTCAGGTTTGAGTTTTGAGTCCTTCAAGAATTGGGCATGGTATCTTTACAAGAAGGTTGATTAGAAATTTAAATTTACTGATATTATGTACTGTCGTATGTACCTAGAACCTGTGGCTAGCTGAATTGAGTCGTGACTCTTTTTTTAACTGAAAATCAAAAATTAATACACTTTTTCCTGAGTATATTTTTTTGGGTAGATGTAGATACCAAGACAAAGTTCCTGCATTATTCGTCTGTTGAATTTATTGGGTCTTTTCATTTTGAATTCAGAGTTGAATGGCAGTTCCTTATAATCTAGTTTAATGATTTTTTAAGTACCTTAAAGCCAACTGTTCCTCTCTGGGCATAAACTTGACTTCCTCGAAAGTGCATGTTGCTATTTTGGAATGTAGGATCAGCAGCACAAAGTTACCAAACACAAAATACACCAAATCACTACCCCCTTTGAACATTTTTTGGGGAAAATCGAAAAATTATATAAAATACAATATTTCACTTAATCATTATTATTCAATTTATTAGATACTTATGTTTTATGAGTATCTTTGAGATTATTTATCGAGAAAGCAAAAAGGTTGAAGATAAGATCCCAATTCGGATATTTTACTTATCTAGGATTTCTAGGAACAAAAAAAAACACAAAATTTGCACTGGCTACACATCGGCTTCACAGTATTCTGGCGATTGCCACGACATGAAAATGAAGCTAAATTAATTATTAGATGTTTGGTAATTTCTATATAAAACACAAAAATCAAAATATTTTTAATAACAGAAAATGTCAAAACTTTCAATTAATTTATTGACGTCCAGGGAGGAGTTTCGGCTACGAAGTCGCATTTGATTGGTTGCTAAATATCAACTAGAGGTCTGTTTCTGCAAAAATCGCAAACCAGTCAGAGTGAATTTCATTGGTTGAAACTAGTTTTCTGACTGTTTCCAGCCAATGAAAGTCGCTATGACTGGTTTGTAATTTCTGCAGAAACAGACCATGACTCGTAGGTTGTAGGTACTTTCTTTCCAGCGTACTCAATTGGCAAAAAAGTGTGGCAGTAGAAGTTTGTTCCATTCAGATTTCCATTGCTGTTCGGATATAAAATACCAATTAAAAATATAAATAAATATAAGATAAAGAAAATATTCGGACACACAAGGTCGAAATCTCTGGGTCGAACATATCAAAACAACGAATTAGGCAATTCAATCCATCTGTCAAAACGTGAAATTCAATATGGCGTGGCGGCCAGCAAGTTTGTTTCGAATATGTGTTTTCAAGTATATTTTAATTATTTTGTTTCGAGCTTTGATTTTCATTATTCAATAAAATATTTGCTCACTAGGTACGTAAACTATTAAGTCGGGCAGAAACTAGACATTTTTTTGTGTTTTTTGATCCATGTGTGGCCGCCACGCCATCTTGAATGTCACGTGGTTTGAATTGCCTAATTTCAAATTGCCCCGGTGCCGCACTGGTTGCACTCAGGGCAAAAAGTGTCGCACCAGATTCCAAGTGAAGTATCCTTGGCAAATGGCAATTTTTTATTTGGCCGTGACTACTGCACTATCCAGACAGTGTCGACTGAAAACTATCTGCACTGACCAGACAGTACCGACAAAGACGTTTTCTCGCGTCCACTTTTTTGAAACTGGTTTAAAACTGTTTTAAAACAGGACCTTCTCGCGATAAACCTATGACGTCATGTCAAAATTGGGTCAAATTGTTTCGAAATGCATTCTAATCCACATTTTCAAACCATTTTCTCACGCCGAGAAATTATGACGTCATGGTGACATTACTTAAACCAGTTTTGAAAAATGTTTTGAAACATTTGAGACGCGAGAAAATGCCCTATCAGCACTGTCTAGACAGTGCCGACTGAAATCTATCTGAACTGTTCAGATAGTGCGAACTAAGAACCAACTGCATTATTGTCCAGATAATTTCATTATCATAATCATATAAAGTTATAGTTATATTCAGAATGGCTTGCAGTCCTTGCTGGGATTCAGTTTATTATTAATTGTTTTTGTAATAAGTCCACAAAACTAATGTTTTTTCAATAGTACTAAGAGTGTCACTTTTCACAGGTCAGAGGTCAGGTCGAGGCCAAACATTCATTCGAAGGTGACCATAAACACAAATGTCGCATACAAAATACAAACAACATTTTCCCTACAAGAGTGTGCATCACAGTAGTAGGTACTTTTCACGGAGTGCGGAAGTGCAACTTTGAGCACGGAAATGCGTGCGGAAAAGTACTATTTTCAACACGCTCGTAGGAAAAATGTTGTTTGTATTTTGTATGCGACATTTGTGTTTCTTGGTAACTTCGAATGAATTTTGGGCCCCGACCCGACCTGTGAAAATTAGGCTCTTATTAGGTACCATTGGAAAAACATTCGCGAACTTATAACAAAAATAATTATTAAAACACTGAATCCCAGCAAGGAATGCGAGCGATTTTGAATATAACATAACTACAACTTTATATGATATGATAATCAAATGATCTGGACAGTGCAGATGGTTTTTTGTCGGCACTGTCTGGACTAGACAGTGCTGATAGATTTAAGTCAGCACTGTCTGGTCAGAGCAGAGAATTTTCAGTCGGCACTGTCTGGACAGTGCAGTAGTCACTCCCTTTTTATTTACTTTACTTTCACCTCAAAATTTATATTCAAATAAGTTTTGTCTTTTGATATTTTAAGTAGAAAAATGATAATCATTACTAAAAAATTAGCTCAAAAATCCAATTTTATACTTAATTTTGTAAGTTCATTTGCATTAAATGTAGTCACTCACTAAAACAACCTCTGTGTTAAAGATAAGACCCTGCACTACCAAAGCAAATAGACCAAATCTTCAAGAGGCTTTTGCTATCACACTCAAAGACATTTTTTCACCCCAAGAACATGCTAAGATATTGAAAACTTTAAATGAATCCAGTCCTGAAGAACTATCGAGGTAATTTTTCTACAGTAGATTCCTACTTCCTCTTTACAAAATTAAACTTTTCTAGATTTAAAATCTCCAATATGAGAGTTAGAAGTATTTGTGAATGGAAAAATACGAAAGGCTCTTTCAAATCACTCAGTGAAGTCTTGGAGGTAGAAGGTTTTGGCACAAAAATGTTAGAACAAATTTGTAAAAATATTGCCTGCAATAATATTGTCAAACACATAACAAAAAAAAGATCTCCACTTGCGAAGAGTTTTTTGTTGCCTGAAATGGATTTTGAATTATCAACTGTTAGTATACCTACCTTATTTATAAGTACAGAACTTTTTACAATAATTAGGTATTATTCTAGTCCCTACAATCTGCTGTAGCAATCCATATAGAACCTACTGGAATCGGCTGGGCAAGACTAACAAAAACAGGCAATACTATAACAAATTGGAAATGTCAAAGTTTCTGTTCCTTACCAACAAAAATGCTGCCATCAGATACTTTCAATTTGGCTGTAAATTTATTGGAAGTGACCCCTTCAGCGGATGCATATATTATCGAAGCCCCACCAACTTTGGGGCCGCAAAGTCAAACTAAACAAGGAATCGTGTCCGCCCATAATCATCAAGTGGAGCTGATATCGATGTTGTTAGCTTTATTAAACACTAGTGCCAAGCATAATAATGGTTTGGAGAAATCATTGGAAAATAAGGTTTTCTTTTTGAGGAGCAAAATTGCTGCTAGGTAAGTATCTTCTGATTTATATGACATTTCAACTTTTTCTCCAATAATTTATCTAGGTTGTTTAGTACTCTAATTGGTTATGAAAAAGTCTCAGCGATATCAGTAATAACAGGAATAGTGAACAAAGATTCTAAAGTGATTGATTCTCTCCCTTGTACACCAATAGATTTTGATCCCAAGTTGAATCTTGCCTTTTCAAATCGAAGTTCATTCGATAAGGAACTCTTAGCTCAGGCTCTAATGTTAGTAGCAAGTTTCATGGATTTGTGTATTCATAGGAATTCTAAATGTATTGAAGCTTTGAAACCTAAAAGGCATAAAAAAGATAACTTTGCAGCTGTTCAGGAACTAGGTTAAGTGCGAGGTTGAGTGTTATTTACATTGAATATAAGATTCTGTTACATTGAAAATAATGATTTTTTTTGGCATGTAATATGCATTTACTTTAGCAAGGATGCTTATCAGCAGTTACATACATAAGTACTGTGACATGTATACCTACCAAAATTACAAGAGAGATTTCATCCATCGTACGCTGGAAGGTCGCTGGTGCGTTCTTTAAGCCAAATGGCATTCTTAGGTCTTCAAAATGCGTATTTATTGATTGGCATAAAAACGATTTTTCGATGGAATACAAATACCGAGCTAAATACATTCCAATCTGCTGGAAACTATATATCAACATAAATAAATTTCAGCTAGTGAATGCAATACCGAGATCCCGAAATGCCGGGATACCGCACGCCATATGCGGGACTGATCCCGCTCATAAACTCAGCGAGATCCCGCTGGGATTTGCGGGATCGAAAAGTACTGTACCTTATGGTGAGTATAGGGGACTGGGATAAACTTTCTCGGCCTAATCCGAAATTGTTTACAATTTTTCAATTTTGGCAGTTTTGTTCCAACTTTTAATAAGGTCGTGTAGCGATCGCAGTGCATCAAATTCTTAGTTCTGGTTAAATTAACAAAATTCACCGTTCTAAGTAGGTATTCAAGTTTAAATATTTATCATTATGTCGAAAACTGTAGCTCTGTTCCAACCGACATGACAACTGTTCTAGAACGGTAATTTTCAGTCGATAAATCCATTTGTCAAGTAGGATAAACGTTCGACTTATTGAAAAATAGGTGGGCAACTGAAAATTAGTGAAATTACTGCTTCTGGAATCGTTCTCATGTCGGTTTAAACAGAGCTACACAGTTTCTGACATAATGATAACTATCAATTAAATTTGAATAGGTGCCTACTTGAAAAGGAAAATTTTGTTAACGTGTTAACGCGGTCGAAACCGATGAGTCCGTTCACAGGCTAGGTCGAAATTTAGACTGCTTGGTTTTCTTTTCCATCTTTTTTTCTTTGGTTTTTTTTCTTCATTCTTTCTTTTTTTTTTCCTTTTTTTTATGGCACCTAATGCACAAAAACACCATTAATCTCTTCCATTGCTGAGTCCAGACGATTTTTGAAGCTATTGATGCTTGGGGCACTCACGATCTCCTCACTCAGAGACTTCCACTTATAGACAACTGTGTAGAGGTGGGCTGCGATTTTACAAACTGTGACTTTGTCACTGCTACTCGTCTGTCACAGTCACAGCCTGCTCCAGTCCCACTCAAGTAGCAGTGACACTCTGTCACAGTCGCTTCGATCTCTCACCGATGCACAGACTGGTATTTTTGCTAAAAACCTGGCCAAAAATATTTTGCTGTTTATTTGAACTCTTTTTAAATAATAACAGTTTATTTTCACATAATAAAGTAAGTTTATAAGTCAAAAGTCAAAAATTTATTTATTTTATCAATAATAATAATAATAACAACAAAAGTTATTCCGTCCATTATGAAATTATTCTACTAAAAAAAAAACATAGAAACTCTGATATAACATAGAAATTAAAAATACAATTATTCGTATGAGATTACAGTCTATTCTGTGTCACTTTCATCACTGGAATCAAGATCTGGTTCTGGTTGTAAAAACTCCAGTGCTTCTTTTGTAAATGACTGTTTTTTTCTACTAGTTTTAGGCTTTATGCTAGTAGGGGTCTGAGGTCAACAAAAGCCGATTTAGAACATCTTCCTTACATTCTTTTCTGGAAAATTTTCGCGAGAAGCTTTCCCGGTACTGGCGGAAATGCTTATTCCTGGCTTCCGCAGCTTCTTCCGACAACTGACCGATTGGTAATAAAGCATGTGCTATAACACTGGCTGAGTGTATTAAAATTTTATGTATGGTTGGAGACATAGGCCGCCAAGGATATAAATTTACATAGAGCTTCGCCGTATCCATAGTGTACATAGAGAATTTTTCCACGTCTATTTTGAAACCAGAAGATAACACTTCTAATATTATTTTAAATCTGTTTATCAGTTCGAAGTCTATTCCTGTGATAGCAGCTGCTTCTTCTACATTGTTGAAAAATCTACGTGACGTGTTTCCGTCATTGGTATTGCCATATCCAGCTTTCGGGATGTCCACCAGCAATCCCATTTTCTGGCGGAATTCTTTTTGCATGTTTTGTTTTGCAGTTTGAATTTTCTCTTTGTCAGTTTTTATTGTAACGCGACTTTCACGTACTCCTGCCTTTACTTTGTATGACAAATGTAGTAGAAACTCAAAAAATCTAATTCTTGCGTGTAATATTGACAACCCAAACTGAAGTGTTTCATGTTTTTCTGGGCTCTCCTTTGTCAAGGCATTAAAGTTTTTTGATGTTTTACCACATATGTAACAGCGCATAGTCGAAGTAGTGTTAGTGGCAGCATTGCACACTTTCCCATCTACCATTGTTGGCAGTAATTTATGTCTAATTTCAATATTTTCTTTCAACTTTGTCGCTTGCAGATTTCTGGCCTGCTTTTCCACGTATTCAATCTCCTCATTAGTGATGTCTTTATTTTCTTTGACAAATCTCATTCTGATAGGCGTGCAAAATCTAGGTGATGATGGATTAGGGTTTTGCCATATATTTTGTTTTCCACTCAGTAGTCTAACTGGTACAAGGGAACTTAGAAAAATGTTAGCATCACTGTCGCTCTCATCTTCAAATTTTTGCTTATATTCACATTGCTTGGACCCATCACAACCCCACTTAAATATAAGCACAAATTCTTTATTTTCACTTTGGATATTTTCCAGAACTGGTTCCAAATATCTACAAAGCCGCCAAGTTGTATGATCGACCAAATCTTGCAATTTCACTTCAGCAAAAGTTTCGCCAATATTTTTTGGTGGGTAACAATCCTGTTTAGCATTTTGCACGTATTTATAACATGGATATACATCTTTGTTGGCTTGCCGAATCACCTCGTACTGACTCATGGTCAAATTAGCTTCGACGAGTACTGCCAAAGCCTCTTCTGGCGAGTGTTTCTTCGTAGTAGTTTTTTGACTACCAATAACTGCTAGTTTACGAAATTTTGCTGCACTAGTTGCAGATTTAGTGACATCTTTAATTATTTTTGCTGCGTCAATATTACCTGCAGCTCGCTGACTCATCTGTGTAGCGTATGTCAACTTATCAAGAGGGACATTCATTCTAAGCTCCAGTGTATTACGCCGCTTTGATCGGTCACTTAATTCTCCAAATTCTTTATTTGGTCGACCTTTGGAACTGGAAGCAACTGAGGCGACAGGAAATGAAATTTCTTCATTTAGCCATTCTTGATTCTTTTCCAAGAAACGACTTTCTGTACTATTGCACGAGAGCCATTTACGCTTATAAACAGTTTTAAAATTCTTGATGGTATCTTGAAGTACATCGATTTTCTCAGGCGGACACTTTGTAATGGTAACTAATTTGTCTTCTAAATCTTTCAGTTTTTCATCAAACAGTCGCTTTGTGCTTTCTCTGACTAGATCATGCAGTTGTCTATTGGTAAGAGGAAGTCGACAGTTCTGTGAAAAATATTTATTTAAACTATCATTACAAGAATTCTCATTAATTTAACTTGGAATGTTAAAATCACCAATTATTATGCAGTCCCAGTTATTCCGGATTAAATTGGATTCAAACTGCTCAGAAAACCTTTCATAATCCACTTGGACTATTGGGGACAAAATACACTACGACAACATTCAAAAATAAATTATGATTAAGCCTAACTTGAATAAACAACGCATTTTAATTAATATTAAATATCTTTAGCTCCGATACCGCTAAACAAGCCTTAATTGATAACAAAACTCCTCCACCCTGTTTCTTACCCCTTCTCTGTTTTTTCTAAAAGTTAACCTTAACCTTAACCAAAGCTAAATTTGGTAGAACCAATCGAATCATTCAACTACGTTTCCGTTAGAGCTATAACATCATAGTCATTATTAAACATATTAACTTTAAGGGTATTTAACTTGGTTTTGATGCCCCTGCAGTTCTGATAAAAAATAAAAGTTTAGTTATCGATGAAGTAATTGTGTTGTATTGACCCCGACAAAAATTTAGGTCAGAAACTGTAGGCGAATGAAGATCGACCAGTGCCGAACCGTCACCCTTGACAATGTAACTTGGCTCAGATCAGAATCACTAGCAATCTTCAAAATGAAGGGGTCACTAGAGGGCATGTAGTTGCTATCTATCACTAATTTCAATATATGTGAGAGGTTTACAGTTAGAAAATTTAACCATAGTATCACTTATCAGTCCCGATAGTTCCGACTTTGCATGCTTCTTTCCTAAGATAGTTAAGATACTACAGCTATTCATAAAAACTACTTTGTTTGGAGAGAATTTTTCAAAACTATATATAAGATTCATCAAGTTATTATTGAAAATATGGCTTAAGTTTCTATATTTAAAACTGATTGGAGCAGATAATACGAGAACATTAGTTTGGACATACGAGGCAGAAAATTTTTACAAAACCCTGCAAGAAACACTACATAGTCATTACTGCCAAAATCACTGGTCAGGGCGGTTGCGCATTTCATAACGTCTTCAAATAGAGCAAAAGGTTGCACTGAATATTTAGAAGATAGATCTTTATGCAATTTTGACTCTAAACCTCTACCCATTTGATCACACAACAAGACTCGACCCATATTTTGATTACATTTATTTAACACTGTGTTTTCGTGCACAATCTGCCTCATTTGACGACGTTAGACTAGGCCCATTTTGTGACTGACTATAAATATCAATCAGTTTGCTGCACACATGCATCTAAATGTCTTGGTGGCTCACTATTAACTTTATTGATAGCCATTATAAGGTCCTGAAGGTATTTCTCATTTTCTTTAGAAAGAGCGGTAACCTCGGCACTTAAGGAGATATTGAGTTTTGATACCCAATAGTAATAAAAAAACTCTATTTTTTCTTGATTAACAATTATTTTAATAATGACAACAAGAATAAGTAAAAAGTCAAGTAAAAATATAATACATTTGTATATCGATCACTGTTCTAATAAAGGTATAAAATGATTATTATTGTGGAATGATTATTTTTCACTAAGTATTCATACATAATACATGCACTCACAAGACAGTCTTACATAGTTTCTAAATACTGTGACACCCTGATTTATTAATCATTGAAAATTTACCTAAATTATCAAAATAGTGTAAGATGAGATTTTTAGGACGGCTTGAAAACCTGTAGGAAAATATCAGACATTAAAATTAAAGTGCATTTTTACTTAATCAGATTTAAACGAGAATTTAAATGTGGAATATGCACATATTTCTTTGATGATGATAAGCATAAAATTGTTATTTGACTTAATAGGTATAGTAACTATTCAAGCACCACAGACAGATTCTTTGGCATGATTAATGGAATGTTCTAAAGTGTAGAATTAGGTACTAATAAAAATCTGACGCTCTTCAGCCGTCAAGACCTCATTTTGGGCACATTTTCCATAAATTGCCCCACAAAATTCCCTCTTGGACTATAGTTGCAAACAACATAAGTTTGCCCTCTTCTATTTTTAGCTATCCCTACTCCCAACTCAATAGAGTTCTTCCAAATAATTTGAGTAAAATGAAGGCTTCCTTGTTGAACTTTCTCAACGCCAAAATTGTGCTGTTTGAGTTCATCGTACCATTCTTTTATAGCGTCCCGCGCTGTAGGTACATGGGCGAAGTCTGAAGAATACATAGAGAAAATATTTTCTCCATAAGGGTTATTGGCTCTATGCTGTAGGCTGGCTGTACGCGCGCAAGTTTCAGCCCAATTTTGAGCAAATTTACACATCTAGGAAAAAATAATAGAAAATACTAATTATTTAACTAAACTTTATACTTACATCCTCATTCAAAGACATCTCAGGTACTCCATGTTTCCTCCTATACTCATTATGAACCTTAAGAGCTTCTTCACAAAACTCATCTACATCAATAACATCAGTCTTCTTTTTTTCTTCTGCAATTCCACTACCAAATGATGCAGTTGATCTATCATCATTCTTACTGCTATCAGATATGTCTTTGTAAAATTGAGGTTTTACAGGAGGACAATTTTCAATAAAGTGCCCCACAAAATTACCAGCTGGAAAATAGTTGGCTACAACGTAAATGCTTCCTTGAGTAGACTTGGCAACGCCCACACCCAAGATTTCGCTTGATTTCCATATTACTTGAGAAAAGTGACCGGATTTGAGATTGCTAGGTTCGCGCCCAAATGGATGAAGTTTGACTTCTTCATACCAAGTATCCACCGGAGTATTTCCATTAATTCTAAAGCTTGAATCCGATGAATACAGGCAGTAAATATTTTCGCCCTTATTACTTTCAGGGCGATGCTCTAATATATTCCTCGAAGCCAAATGTTTGGCCCATTCTTCAGCATATTTGCAAAGGCTTTTGTCAAGTTTTAAAGGGGCCACTCCATGTTTTCTTCTGTAGTTATTGTGGGCTTGCAAGAAATCTTCTTCGAAGTTTGCTTCGGTAATCGAACGCAGATCTTTTGTTGAACTTCTGCTACTAAGAGAGAGTCGACTAAGTTGGGTTGGTAACTCTATAGTATTGTTATTATTGTGACTTGGAGTCGGCGATACTCCGCCAGGCGGCGGAACATTTTCAGCGAAACTTCCAATCATATTTCCAGCAGGATAATAATTCGCCACTACAACAACTTTACCGCCAATTTTGGCAAACGCTACTCCAAGCTGTTTCGAATCTTTCCACACTACCTGAGTAAAATGACCAGAAGCTAAACTTTTGGGTTCAAAACCGAACTTATGAAACTTGATTTCCTCATACCAACTATCCACAGCCTCTTTTCCAGATACAGTGAAATTTGTATTTGACGATTGTACCATAAAAATATTCTCACCGTAGTCTCGATTATTGCTATGTATTAAGGCACCTCTTCTTATCAAATGATCAGCCCATTGTTGGCTGAACTTGCAAATTTCTTTGTCCAATTTTAATGACGGCACACCGTGCTTCTTTCTGTATTCATTGTGGGCTTTTAGGCATTCATTCTGGAAATCCATTTTGGGATTCAAAGGTTTCTGAAAAAAAATCATAGTAAGAAGAATATAAATTAGGTAATATGAACGTTGATCCTGTAAAATCATGTTAGATGTAGGGGTGAAGTAAGTCTTACCTTTACACCAGATATTTTACTTTTTGTAGCTTTTTCTGCAAGTGCTTGAATAATGTCTTGCGGGCACTTATCTTCAAAATCTTTTTTTTCAGTGGTTACTTTGCATTCTGTTCTTTGTCCTCGAAAAGTTTCGATCGTCTCCCGTGTGACTGTTTCCAATGTTGGTTCCTAAAAATAATAACATGAGGAAATTACTGATATCCTAATCAAATAAAACACCCACAATTATTTATTATAGCAACTTTTGTCACATGTGGATTTGAGGTTTTAATCAATATAAAAATAACTGTAATTTTGACAAAGAAAATTCATGGGACCGTTAAAAAACTATTTCATGCTTGACTTCTTCACTGACTTTTAACCATGAAAAATTAAACATCTCCTGTCTTGCAAAATTTTGGAACTCATTTGTCACAACTGGCGTAACAAAATTTCAAATAGGTAACTAGATTTTGCACAATTCATTTGAAGATTTAAAAATGTAATTCGAAATTTCCCTACCTTTTTGAAATATGACTAACGAAATCACAAAACTGGAAATAATCGAACTCGGGAGGCTCTATTTATCACCCAAATTTAAGGCGCGTTAGTTTGTGGAAATTGTGATAAGATACCAAAATATGTCGCAACTTCATTGAAATTACTAATTAGGAATTAGTGGATTAAAGTAAGGATTGTAAATTATAAAACCTTCTAATAAATTGAGAAATTATGATAAATGTTTTAAACACAACAACCTATGGTGTAATTTTATATTTTTGGGTTTATTTTCTCAGAAAATAAAATCAATTGTTATATAGAGTTCGATTAAATTTCTGGTACTTTTTAAATTTCAAATTTGATTCTTACCTCTCCATTTTTCATGTTGGCAAACGTTCGCTGGTCAGTTTTTCGGACCATGACGATTCTGCTGGATCCGTCATGACCATGGGTTGTTTTCCTGAATCGATGGAGATCGGTCAGGGACCCGGGAAACGTCGGTTTTCGCCTGGAAAGAGTTTTCAAATTAATAATGTTGGAAAGTCTAATTTAATTTCAAATCAACCTAATATTCAAATGGGGGAGAAACTGGAGTAAACTATTTTACAAATTAACATACATTTTCTATGTTTAGTCAAGCAAGTGAATTGAATATTAGATTTGCACGCGATGTTTTGTATATTTCGTGATGAGTAGCTACTGAACATGATTTGTGTTTAAGAAAATATAGGAGGCAGATATTATAGAAAGGGACGTTTGATTTTGAAGTAAGATTTAGGATTGTAGTTAATTTAACACTGATATTATGTAAGTAAACAAGATTGATATTTCAACACCCTGCTAAAATTTTTAAAAATTAAGCGGCGTTTCCACAAGCATAGTTTATTGGTGCCAGTGCACGTGCCAGTTTGCTGGCATAATAACAGTGGCGCCAGTATCTGTTTCCATTTGATATCAGAAACTTTTAACTGACGCAGTAGAAAAATCCCGTCAACTGAAGAGGGGCAAGCAGGTTTTAATGTTGTTTTAGGAATTTTGTTACTAGAATTGCAGAAGATGAAAAAACAAAAAGAAGGAAAGTAAACACAAGATCTGGTACAAAATTGGATTTCACGCAGAAAAGCTCCAGGAGCATCAAATAATTTACTATCTGAGTTATCTGATAAAGACCATGAAGCATATGTCTACTGCTTCTTCTTTTACTTTCAGCAGTGGTAATATCAAAACCACATACGAACCCGAACTCGAACATATTCCAAAAACTTTATAATATATTCCATTTTTTAGATTTACTTGACATTTTCATTATTTTTCTGAAAACGACTAGTGAAAACGTTCGTTTTTGTCGTCTTTTTCGTCGATTTGCTCCAAAATTTGGACAGGCACGTGACTGGATAAGACAGTTTCAGTTCACGTGCCTGTCAAAATTTCGGAGCAAATCGAAGAAAAAGATGACATCAAAAACGAACTCGGCTTGTATTTTTTTTGACAAACTGGCGCACATGGCAAACTGGCGCCAAAAAGTAGACCTCCGTTCTACTTTACTGGCGCATGGATAAGTGGCGCAGTTAACTGGTGTCGGTTGATTTTCCGAGTTTCCACCCGCCAGAAAAGTTGGAAACGCCGCTTTAGGCTCTAAGGCTCAGTTGAACAATCTCGGTTCAAAAAAAAGTTCAACTAAACTCAACTGGTACTTGAGGTTTCACATTTGAAACACATTGCTGTCAGCTATTAATCAAACTATATCAATTTTGACAGCAATGCATTTTAAATGGAGAAGTTCAAATACCAGTCGAGTTCAGCTGAACTCTGTTTTGAACCAAGATTGTACAACTGGGCCTAACTTGGTCACTTGGATTTTTGGGAGTTTTTTTTTTGTTATTAACAGGAAAGTTTGGGCACTACTCTATGAAGCACCCAGTGAAGTGTAAAGCAATTTTTCTTGAATAAATTCTAACGGAGCCTCTGAAAGGCAGTATAACTTTTTATAAGATTCTAAATAATAGACACACCGGCAAAATTAGGGGAACGGACAAAATTTACACTAAGATTGACATCAATTTTCTATTGAACCCTCCGCTCGATTTCGATGAATTTTTCACAGATTGTAGCTTGATTCTTCAGGAATACATCTGACGTATTACCGCTATAAAGCCCGGGACACATCTATCATACATTCTTCCGATCCGACTCCGATCATACAATCAGGGTCCTTATTCTTGGAACAGGAAGCAGTGTTCCCAGGCGTTATCTTGAGAACGCTGCTCCCCTGTTCCAAGAATAAAGACCTTGATTGTATGATCGGAGTCGGATCGGAAGAATGCATGATAGATGTGTCCCGGCCTTTAAATGATTCGTCTTTCTATCATATACAGGGATGAAAAGAAAGTCAGTAATTTTTTGAGACACCCTGTGGAGTGAATCACTTGAAATTCAGAACAGTTTTCAACACCAAATTGTAGCCTGATCTTTTCCGAACATTTTATTTTTTTTATTTACTCTGATTTTTCAATATTATTGAGAATACAGTTTCGGAAAAAAGGTGGATATTGACCTTAATTTTCTCCACGTCGACATATGAATTGGATATGAAAATGTGTCGTTTTCCAACTTCAAGTCGTGTGTGTGAATGATTACTTCAAGTTAAATATTGCTCGCAGTTTTACGTCTTACCGATCAATTTATTGTGAATAGAATGCTCACAAATATACAGGGGGATCAGAAAGTCCCTTTCATGATTTCTATTTGGTGAAATGTTATTTATCTAAACTATACTCTCCCTTCACACTTAACCAAGGCCCAAGGCTAAGGACTTTATCAATTTTCCCCTCAACAGACCTCGCCACATCGGTAGGACATTGACGAATTTATTATTATTTGTTCAAGTAAAATCACGAATTTTCACCTTGACAGCAACTCAAAAAAATGATCAAGTTGAAGTTTTTTTTTTCTATTTGTTGACTTGGGAACCAATGAAAAAAGAAATCACAATAACAATAACTTAACGAACAATAACGATTCAAAACAGCGGACCAGAAAGAATGATCTCAACCGGAGCAGCTGCTGCTTGTTCGCGATTCTGAACTGCAGGAATTGTGGACCTTTAATCGTCTTCCCAACATTTCCCAGACATGTTCGATCGGATTAAGATCTGGGCAACATGCAGGCCAATCCATTGCTCTTATTCCGACGGTATTCAAAAAGTCGTAGATGCGGCGCGCCACCTGAGGACGAGCATTGTCGTGCATTAGCAGGAAGTTTTCTCCGATATGGGGGGCGAAATGTACGACATGCTGTTGCAGAACATCTCGTATCCGTCTGCATTTAAAGCGCCATCAACAACCACCAATTCTGTTCATGCCCCTAAACGTATCCCACCCCAGACCATTACTGACCCTCTACCACAGTAGCAGTGGAATTGAATTGTGATATAATCTTTCAAAAGCGGCTCTCATCTGTGAAAAGAACGTTGTTCCAATAGTTATATTCCCAATTTTCATGCTCCTTAGCGAAGCGTAGTCTTGCCAATCGATGATGCTGCTGGAGTTTTGGAGTTTTCTTTGTTCTTTAGGCCTTCAAACCAATTTCTTTGAGCCTTTTGCTGAATGTAAGATGATCTTACCTTTAATAATAAAAAGGTAATGAGTAATGACCAGCCAATTGTATTGTCAAGGGTATCGTCGATTTTAAAATTATAACCAATGATTATAACACAAGACATGATGTCATAGGGATAGGGTGACACGCGATGACTTTCAGATTACCTGTGTTTTCTATTATCCAATTTTTTTTTTCAACCTTTTTTTGGCGTGGCACCGTTTTTTTTTTTCATTTAGTGCTTTCTTCACTCACCTGTCCCAAAATTTCAGATGCGTACAGCATTCATTCACAAAAAATATGGTCACCCCATGGTGTCAGGTTTAAGAACCTCATTCGAATGGCAGAATTAAACCCTAAAGAATTACAACAACAGTGGGAAGAGCTTAGAAAAATAGTAGCTGTACTACAAATTCAGGAATGTCAGAATCAAGACCATACACCTATTTAAAAAATAGTAACAAGTACTGTTAGCCAAATACCCACAATCCAGAAGTTCAGTTTTGGTAAAGATGATTGGACGAAATGGATAACATACTATAAAAGGTACCTACAGAATAGTTACAGAATTAAATACAGCTTCACAAAAATTGCAGACCCCAAATCTATTATTGCACATGGGACCTGAAGTTGATAGATAATTGGAACAATTGGACAAACCAGAGAGTGTTTTTGAAACATACGAAAAAACCAAAGAAATGTTTGATCAACATTTTTAAATAAAAAATAATATAATTTATGAACGAGCTAAATTTAACTTGAGACATCAACATGAAGGTGAGAGTCCTCTGAGGTGAGAGTGCTTTGGAACATAAAAATTTTTTTAAAAAAATTATCGAAATCTTGTAATTATGGTAAATTAACAGACGAATTTATCAGAGATAGACTGGTTGTAGGTATATTGGATCACAAATTATCAGAGCAGCTTCAACTGGATGATAAATTGGATCTCAAGAAAGCTATAGAGAAGATTACACAATCAGAAATAATTCGAGAACAAACTAAATATACAGTGTGCGCCATAAAGTTGGGTACATATGGGAAAATTCTTAATTATTCCTTTTTTCAATTTTTTTTTTTTTTGAGGTTCGTTAGGGCATGTTCGATAACTAAAAAATCGATTATGACACATGTCATGCGATTATCGGTTTAGTGGGAATTTTGAAAAAAGTTGATATTGATGTCGAAAAACGGGTAAATTTGGCAAGATATCAAAAAATTTTATAAAAAAAAGTTGTTCAGAATCCAAAAAGAACTCCACATGCCGATTTTGAAGCAAAGCAGAGAAAAAAAAATTGAACTACTTCTTTTACCCATACCATTAAATGGAAAATCGAAAATATTAATTTTATTTCAAAAATAGCTTTATTCAACATTCAACTGAACTACCTAAGTTTGATATCAAACGAATCGATTGTTTTGCGAAATACACACTTGAAGGTCATAAATTAGAAAATACCGTCTGGTCGTGTCGCTATAACTGTACCCATGTCCCTTTTTGCACATTTTCTGGTCATCAAAAAAATAACATGACGTGTCATAATCGATTTTTTGGTTATCGAACATGCCCTAACGATCCCCAAAAAAAGTTATTTTCAAAAAAGGAATAATTAAGAATTTTCCCATATGTATCGTACCCAACTTTATGGCGCACACTGTATAAGAAGTAAAATCGCAGGTACCTCTAATATAAATAAAATAAATAAAAGAAGTATGCAAATAAAACTAATAAAAAATGGGATAAAAGTTCACAATCAAGAAAACCAATTATACAAAGAGCTAGATGTTTTAGATGTGGAAATTCACCTCATGCATATAAAAATTGTCCTGCAAATGGACAAATATGTTCAAAATGTAAAGTTAAAGGTCATTATGCCAAAATGTGTAGGCAAAGAATATTATAGACTAACC